TTTGCGTACACGAAATTTTCCGACAGCTAGAAAGCACTTAGTCCAGATAACTAGGAAAAGCAAAGACGTTAGGCAGCACACAAACAGTGGGCAATTTTACTGGCAACTGTCCGACAAACGGGGCACGTAGACTGGAAAAAAACTTGCGACTACAACAGACTCATCGGTTTCGAACAAAGGACGTTCGAACCAATGGATACCAAAGCTACTTCATCAAGCAAAGCAAGCGCCAAGTCAACAGACGACGGCCACAAGTAGGACAAGCCGAATTCTGGAGGGCCATTCCTGACCTTAAAGGAGTCTCCGAGCGGTTTCCCGACTGTTATCGCCCGCCAGGGTAGGTATTGCCCATAGACCTCAGGCAAAATTTCGCTGCTGTTTGATGCAACCCAAAGACATACTGCCACCCACTGAAACCTCAGCAGTTGTCTATCAAAAACGTTGTAACGATGGAGACCGCAACTACGTTGGGGAAACCGGACGGAAATTGCGGACCCGCCTACATGAGCACAAACGAGCAACTCGTAGACTAGACCCAAACTCACAGCTTGCGGCTCACATCGGGGAGACTGGTCACAGTTTTGATTTTCAAGGAGCAGCCCTCTTAGACCGGGGCACCCCAACGACAGTGTCTCACACTTGAGGCTTGGTACTCAGGTGTCAACTCCATAAATAGGCATCTAGACCTTCCTTTGGCCTATAAAGTCCTACGTAACTACATACGCCGTGACGAAGACAAGACAGTCATAGGGAGCCTAAGACTACCGAGTAAACACGGCCTGTAGACCATTTTACCCAAAAGGGGGACACAAACGCAACTAACCCCAATTGAGGTGACGACACGCAATGCAGGAGGCCACTAACACTCACAGGCGACGACCAGTAGGCTAAGGCAGCGAAAAAAAGGTCGATCAGCCCAAGACCAACTAATCAGACTGTCTGTTCAAAATTCGGATCGATTTTTCACTAGACGCTTTGATAATGGAGAGCCGCCCGCAGCTCTTCGAAACGTCAGCCGAACAAGTCTCTCGATCCGGTGGACACTTGATTTTCCTCAGATTATCAACCCGGATCTCTTACTTTTGCTAACCTGAGCTCTTTCTTTTGTGTTAGAGAATTATGAAAAGCAAAGACGTCAGGCAGCACACAAACAGCAGGCAATTTTACTGGCAACTGTAGGCTGGAAAATAAACAATTTGCGTCTACAACAGATCCTTCGGTTTCGAGTAAAGGGCGTTCGCGTATGGGTGTTGCGCTTTGTCTAAAAACTCTGGGCTCGAGGCCTCGAATACGATCATACGGGGAAGGACAATCAATAATTGAGAGGTCAGGGGTCTTGCAATCAGGCCCGATGGGTGGCCGCCACCCAATGTGACTACAAATACTTCCAAGTCACAAAAGGCAGCGTTATATGCACCACCGCTCTAACATACATTGTTGCACGGTCGTTACTGATCTAGCTTAGATGGCATAGCAGGCATCCTGCATGCCCCATACGTTATAAACCCTTTTTCATAATTCCTGTATACAGTAGATGTGCTAACTCATGAAATGTCAACCAAAATTTCGAAATGCGTTCTCGGATCGAAAAGATAAATTAAGTAGTGTTGTAAAACTAATCATGATGCAGCATAAATCTATAATGATCCAGTTACCTCAGCGTGTCGGCTTTCGAAAGAACTTATTTTCGGCTGCATGCAATATCTATACTCTGCAAAAAATGACTACTTAAGTAGCATGCTATTCTCTAATTGATTTTCGGTGCCCCTGAAAATTCAATTATATTTCATGGAAAACATGCATAAAAATATTCATTTTTTATTTATTCGGTAGAAAATCACGTCTTCTTCCAATTTCATACTCACAAGAAGAGTATAATTCGGTTTCAAAAAAGTTTCTAATTGTGGGATTTTTTAATACCGTTAAATGGCTGTTCATGAAATGCCATGTATCTGCATTTACGAATGTGGCTTGTAAAGTTAACAATATTGCTCAAATCCACTGCTTACTTTTATGAACCTCATATGGTCTCCTCTTAACACCGTAGAGAAATGCATGGTTTTTCGTACACGGAAAATACACAGCTTGTAGTTTTGAAACCCTGAATGCAAGTGTAACAGCAGGTCGGGTTCCAAATTATTCAGGAATAAGAAAGGGTTTTTAAAACCGAATTATACGCTTCTTTCGAGTATGAAGTTGGAAGAAGACGTGATTTTCTACCGAATAAGTAAAAAATGAATATTTTTATGCATGTTTTCCATGAAATATAATTGAATTTTCAGGGGCACCGAAAATCAATGAGAAAATAGCATGTTACTTAAGAAGTCATTTTTTGCAGAGTATAGATCTTGCATGCAGCCGAAAATAAGTTCTTTCGAAAGCCGACATGCTGCGGTAACTGGAGCATTATAGATTTATGCTGCATCATGATTAGTTTTACAACACTACTTAATTTATCTTTTCGATACGAGAACGCATTTCGAAATTTTGGTCGACATTTCATGAGTTAGCACATCTACTGTAGATGTAAATGCGTGCCCAGCATGTTTCATTCCTGGTCCTTGCCATACCAGTGGTTTTCTATGGGCCGCATTTAGCACTTCGACGTAATACTACGTGGTCCGTCCTAAACCATACATCATGATAGCCTCAGATGCTTTCTAGTCTACGGTAGTAAGCAGCCAGACAGCATTACACTCTGCGGCGTCTAACCGCTCACTTTGGTCACTAGAAGGCGCTGGTATGATTATAAATATGAATTGCCGATTATACTAGTAGGCTGTTTACTAAGCGGATAAACAAACCACCAAAAGCTCCTATGCGTAGGGGTAGAACAAGGAGAATGCGGCGACGTATATTTGTTCAATCTGGTCCACTGGAAGCTACTGTTATGAGTAGAACTACAAAGAATGGCGGGATGTGGGATATAACGCATATTATGACGTCATGCAACATAAAGGGTGGAAAAAAGAGGTTATGCGGAAACGGGAGACCGGGTAATCAAGTGATGTCAAACTATCCAACGGAAGTAATTAGCAATCACATAACAATATGTTTCAGAGGCGTGCATAAGTTCTCTGCGTTTGTCCATAGGTCATTCACGGAGTCAGAACTTAAAACCAACGGAATTCTAGCATTTACGGTGTTGTTCGAGGTCAACAAATAAGCCCGAAATTGCCGCTTGACCATAGAATCGACGTCGACTTCCCCTCGACTACCCCCCGGCATTCGGCGGTAAAAACTATGAAGGAGTTCCTGACCGATTCTGAGGACCCCGTCAGAACCAAACGTCTCGAATCGACTGTTAAAGCAGTGCACCAGGACCTACTTGAACTTTAACGGGCAAGGTTGTGAGAAGAGCACGGGTGCACCAACGGCCTCAACACTCTCCAATTCGGGCAACGAGGCCATTAATTCAGACACTGAAAACTTGAGATTTCTCAAGTATCAGTCAAAGTCCTGACCTGAACACGATTTTGACAACTTCGCCATTGTAATTCAGATCAGATCAGATCAGATTTATTAAGGGAAAGGTAGGCGAGCGCCTCTGAACTCCCTTTTGGTTACAATAACGTAATAAAAAGCAATGTGTAAGGCAAGTATCAAAGAAAATTAGGTAAGTAATTACATGCAACAGGCATTGGTCACTGGTATAAATTTGTCTGTCAATGCCTTCTATGTCAAAATTGTACAATAACCAGTACGTGGTACTGACTGGACCAAGTAATATCGAAGCAAACGCATATGCTTCGGTCAGGAGAAAACGAATAGTCAAAAGTAATAGTACTTAAATATAAGGAGTAACATGCTTTGCGACGTAAAAACATGCAGACAAAAATCAACTCCATGGGCAGATGTACTGGTGCATCGCTCTTGATGAAGCGGCCGCAGTACTGACTTGCACGCGAATTTGTCTATAGAGGAGCAGACTTAGGCTGCATCTGTTTCGTTCACTTTCTGTACACACCGACTGCCGGAAACATGGTCAAGTCAAAACGACCAGAGAGAGAGAGACGTGGGCGCATTGGCCGACAAATCTAAACGGCCTCCCTTCGGACACCACGAACAATGTGGTATCGGATGGAATTTCACACGCGAGCAAGAGACCAACTTACGAGTCGTTGCAGCCTGGTCATCAGTCTCCGGTTAGTTATCACTTGGCAATTTCCAAGGCTATGACTGTTAGCGTGTCGTGATGGTTCGAACACGTAAAATGAACTTGTACGTTGGGTTGCCATTGGAAAAGATACCTTGAGAACGACCTCACCCCGCTGGAGTATTTCGTGTGAGTTAAAAGGTCCCCTCGGGCTACCCTAAGCTACTGGGCCAGCGCCTGTTAGCAACAGCAGAAGCGGCCGCCATCAGGTTGCGAAAACCGACCTGATGCGCCCAGAAGAGCCCCGTTCAGGCTCCGCGCTTATCGTGGTCAAAGGTTGACTAACCACATGAAACTATCCGCGCCCTTCCGCTCTTGCCCAGCCTGTATTTTAAAACCTGACTTCTATCGGCTTCTTTTCACTCACTGTACCCCTTCCCATATAACTGTACTGGCCTAACGAGAAGGTATCGAAAGCAACGTTCGCTCGCCACCTTTTCTTCTGGATCTAGAAGCTCAGATTTAAGAAACGCACCAGTCCATCTACCACGGTGTGCGTTTTCGCCGAAAAAATACTGTTCCTTTATACGCTTTAGGTCTGACGCTAGCGTCACCAACTTTGGGAGTCCAACGTAAACAAGCGTCCATAATAATCGAAGAGGACCATTGTCATTACCTGGTGACGGGAGAGAGAGGGCTGGAGTGACACTCATGATTTAAAGGTAGTTGGCTGGGGGGAGGGGAGACTAAAAATGTGTAGGAGGTGCTCGGCAGTAAAGCGTCGTTCAAAACAAAACGCAGTTAATGGGTAAGTCATTCGACCTATGTCGTTAGATGAAATTTAAAACGTTATCTCTAAATTCGCACAAGATACTAATAAGATATTCACCAAGAAAAGGCTAACCTAGAGATAGTCATCGTCGTCGTCGCTGAGACGTTCCATTCGCCGTTTTGGTGGTGTGTCCATGAGATCAAAGACGGCAGTATTATCCCGTTTCAGCTCGCCCATTCCCTCACGTCCGTGGTCCGTCTCAGGCGCGAAAGCATCCTCCTCATCCCCATCATACCGATGACCTCCGCGGCGCCGGTGAGAGGCACCACGGCCACTGTAACTGCTTTCTTCGTAGTCGGAGAGACGCTCACACCCATCCTCCATCTCCCCGTCCGTGGAGGCGCAGTCCTTCTCCGACAGACGCAGCATTGAACGGCCCTCACGCACCCGCACTAAGAGGACCCCGTCAGGCAGAGGTAGACAGGTGGGTCGACAGTTGCCATATAAACTGAAGTAAAGGTCCGCCACGGCACAACGCAGACGGGAATCACCAGCACAGCCCGAATTCATTAGGTTCCACAGACGGTCCACGAGCTGGGGTGTGTCCAGTCGGCTGCCGGACTCCCCGCGGGGGAAAGGAGGCACCTTAAGCAGCATACGTACAGTCTCGTAGCGAAGGCGGGCGTGCGAGGAGTCCGTGGAACCCTCGTTACGCTCGATGATATTCTCAAAAAGCCAGTACAAAGCAGTCTGGTCGCGCTCCCCACGAACAAAGTCCACTAGGCATTCGAGAGCCGCCAAGCGGACATCAATGTAACGACCGGTGGCCGCGGCCTTGTAGAAAATGGTAGGTTCAACAGGCACGAAACTGAAGCGCTGGAGACGGCGGATGGCCAGTAGGCAGGCCACGGTGACGGTGTTCTTGTAGCTGGGGATCTGCGAGTCGAGATTCATGCAGCGCGCTACCTCTTCCACCACAGTGCGGGCTTCAGATGGTAAAGAGGACACGGAGAGCACACCGCGCATCACGATGGCTGGTGTCAAGGTGTCCTTCATGGCCTTAATGATCTCCGCCCGATAGTAGCAGTCGGAGTAGGGGTTGCGTGAATTATCATTATAGCGATTCAACTCAACCAGGAAACTAAGTACGTCGCGAGGACAGACCTGCTGGATGCGCAGGGTAGCCACTGCGCGGACAATTGCCTTCTGTAGGAAGTAGCTCTGCAAATGAGAAAAGTCATTCTGCCGAATCAGTCCGCGGGCAATGGGGGAGGAGTAGAGTTGCCAAAACAGCGGTAACAATACGCTGGAAGCGGAAGCTGAAGAGTTGGGATTGCCACCACCGACACCGCCGCCGGTACCTATGGCCAGCTCGTTGGCCACACGACACAGAGCAAAGCAGGCATCTGTGCGAACACGAAAGTAGACACGTGAGTCGGCCACAATGTTTGACAGGGCAAGTCGAGTTTCTGGGGAGGCGAAATTGGCCAACACACGGACAGCCTCAAGTTGGCCGAGACAGTCACGATCGTGAGCCAGCATCAGATGCCACATATAGTCCGCCTGATCAGTGTGGATGCTGCGGATGACCTGGAGATCAGGATCAAGTCGCAGCCACAGAAGAGGTGAATCGGCATCAATGCGACCTAAATCCATCTCCACCTCATCTCCATTGGAGAGGGGGATCTTCTTCTTCTTGTGCTTGCGGGACTTGGAGTGACAGGGCAGGTCGCGAGAAGTGCGACCCTCTTCCAACTTGAAGGTATGCAAGAAAGGACCATCTAACTCTTGAAGCATGGCAGTCAACGTGCCGGTGTAGTTGAGTGTGCTTCGAGACTGCAAGTCCTAAAACGTGAGAGTGGGGGGGAGAAGAATGTCTTCATCACGAAAAGTGTAGTAAAGATAAAGCAACGGCGGTATCCGAATAATGGACAAATCGAAATGCTTAAGGATGCCCAGGTCAAGGGCGAGGGGGAAGACATAAGAAGTCGGGATAAATCGAAAGGTTTATACAGTGAGTGATCGATCTCATGAAATGTTCGCCAAAATTCTGAAATGTGTTTCCAATTAGAAAGGATTACTTGGGTAGGGTTGTAATACTGATTATCTTGCGGCAAAATCCTATAATATTTCGGACTCGGCAGGATGTCGGCTTTCGAATGCATGGCTTTTCAATCTCCTGTAGAAGTCGTGCTCGGCATAAAATGACTATTTAATTAGCATGCATTTTCCCCATTGACTTTCGATGGCCTTGCAAATTCAAATACATTTTATAAGAAACGTTAATAAAGATATGCTTTCTTTCACTCATTTGATAGGGAACCACCTTATCTTCATATTTTATACTCAAAGAGGCAGTACAACTAGGTTTTAAAAAAGTTTCTAATTATGAGATCTTTTAAGACCGTGCGATGTCTATTCATACAGCATCATACTTTTTCTTTTACCACTGCTTCTCATAAAGTGTACAATATAGTTCGCAACCATTGCAAAATTTCATGGGCTTTACATGAAATCTTTTTAAAGGCATAGAAGAATATGTGATTTTCTTTACGCGGGACGCATGAAGCCCGTAGAGTGCCATCACTAGGCGCTAATGCAACTACTGATCAGGCTCCAAATTAATTGAGAATTAGGAAATTTTTTTAAAACCTAGTTGTACTGCTTCTTTGAGTATAAAATAAGAAGATGAGGTGGCTCCCTATCATATGAGTGAAAGAAAGCATATCTTTGTTAACGTTTCATATAAAATGTATTTGAATTTGCAAGGCCGTCGAAAATCAATGGGGAAAATGCATGCTAATTAAGTAGTCATTTTTTGCCGAGCACGACTTCTAGAGATTTAAAAGAAACGCATTCGAAAGCCGGCATCCTGCCGAGTCCGGAATATTATAGGATTATGCCGTACGATAATCTGTATTACAATCCCATTAATTAATCCTTTCTAATTTAAAACGCATTTCAGAATTTTGGCGAACATTTCATGAGATTGGTTACTCACTGTACGTCTGTCTGATAGCACTCAAATGCCATGACTGATATCGCTTCATATCGCGTGGTAGTGCATGCCTGCTAACTCGAACGTAGTAGGTTAGCATGAACAACAGAAGGTTCGAGGATCTTGCAGGCCGATTGTTGGTGAGAATGCTGAAGTGCATGCTTTAACCGTTTTGAGTTATATATGACACTTTGTCCATGTGGGAGGTGCTGAGGAGGGGGGGGGGGGGATTGCAGTCAGATGGCACAAACGGGGCACTTTTCTCGAAAATGCTAAGCAGTTGACCACAGTAAGTCTATAGAGGAAGTCGCCCTTTAGCAGGAGACCCATCTATCCGTGTGTGTGGAGGGAGCCTAGGTTGATTTACCTGTTGGAGCGAAAATTGCTCCTGCCTGCACTACTGGCTTTCATCAGTACCAAACCGTGTGCGGAGCATAGTTCTTCGATTGTTTAAGTCGATGAGGCCATGCCGCACTTGACGGAGGTGGCGCCTTCCGACGCGGCAAAATGGTAACTTGGATGCACCCCCCGATCACAACGCTGGCAGCTGCTGGACTACGGTCGTGGGCGGAGGGGAGATCGAGAGGATGCGTAGGTGACCAAGGTGATTTGCGATGGCGATGGCAGGACGTAGCACCGCCTCGCCGTCTCTAGAATGAGGCCCCGACTGTAATATCGCAGAATACCACCAGGGGAGTCAGATACTTCTCAATTGGGCTTTTCTGCTCACCGCTTTGATTTCAGCAATCAACTAGCTCACTGCCTGAAAGAGCTGAGACTGTTGATCACAACGCCACCGTGGAGACACAGTGGTGTCAACTGCGGAACGCCATTCACTACACCGCCCCGGATGTCGTCGGTCGCGCATGCTGTCAATATCAGGATTGATTCGACGACAACAACGGAGAAATCTGCAACCTGCTCGTCGAGAAGAATAGGCTGCACGAAGCCAATATCTACCGTCGGACCAACGCCAACAAAACGACCTTCATACTGACCCAACTACGAAAAACTCGGCGCATCGGTGGGATTCGAATCCACGCAGAAAGGGAAAGGCTTTAGTATAACCAACGCTCTAACCACTCGAGCTACGAGGCCCCGCCGTACGACGCGAGTTTAATCACATTTGGGTCAAGTTACCCGCCCAACCTACTGCAACGTCTGGAATCCACGAAATCTAATACAGTAGGTTGACTGCCCAGACAGGATTTCCTAAGTAATTCACCTAGAATCCACCAGATGACTACTAGGCTTACGTAATTTATAGATGTTTTGGCAGATTTTGAATAATTCATATTGACCCAACTGGGCCTCGTAGCTCAAGTGGTTAGAGCGTTGGCTGTACTAAAGCCTTCTCCTTACTGCGTGGGTTCGAATCCCACCGAGGCGCCGAGTTTTTCACAGTTGGATCAATGTGAATTATTCAAAATCTGCCAAAACATCTATGAAAAACAACCTTCCCCAGATGTCGCCGTATGGTGCAGTACCGGCTGCGTGAGATACACGACGCCTGGATGGATCGCAAGGCGGAGGAAATTCAAGGATACGCGAACTTCAACGAAACGAAGAATTTCTTCGCATTAATCGAGGCGGTTTACAGACCCACATCCAAAGGAATCGCATTGCCGCTGGCTCCGACAGGTCAACACTTCTTAGTCACAAATTGCAAAGTCTGAAGCGCTGGATCGCGCATTTCAGAAGTTTCCTCAATCGTCCGTCTACAATCCCTGATCCAGACCTGTCGAACTGTCGGATGGGGGGTAGTTTCTAGGATTCCAAAATTAATATCTCTACTGGGTCTCCAAGCACGCCAGCTTGAGGTGCGAGGATTGTAGAGGACGGTTGCAGGTGTAGTCAAGTTTGGTGGTGAGCAATCTCCACATTTTCGCAAGATTTGCATGCATTATGACTTTTTGTAGGTAAGGCGTTTAGCAGACCGTTGTCCAGTCACTACTGCGTGGTCCGCGACGACTTATTCGTCAAACTCTACAGCCTACTCATCTCGCGGCTAGTCTTTGCTGACGGACATTCAACACCCGTCACCTGTAGACACACCGGGCTGCCCGTGGCCAGGCTAACATGCAACCCCTGTCTTCCTTGATAATAAGACCAGGCGAAAAATGCAGGCAGACATCAGACAGTATACTCTCAAAGAGGAAATACTATGTAGTCAGGATTGGAGAAGTGGTAAGCACAAAATAGGACATTGTGAATTTTCCCGGTCATACGAGACGATTTTGACCGAAAATGAATGGCTACCCTCTTCCCCTGGGAAAACAAACACTTAACCACCTATTGAGCGCCACCACTGTCTAATTGGGGAGAGGGAGGTAGGGCTGCGTCAGCCAATTAACAGTAACGTTTTGGTAAAAGGAGAACCGATTTGCCGGAATCCACTGCATTTCTTGAGAAGGAACCTGCATTGTTACATACTTCTGAGAGTTACAAACTGTCTTGTTTGAAGGTTTTCTAAAAATCATTACACAACTCTTCAAATACCGTCGGAAGGCATATCGAGATCTTTCTGGAATATTTCATACGTTTTCTAGACAGGTCTCAGGAGCGAGACAATCTCAAGAGTTATCTTAAAACAGAAATATTCGATTCTTTTAGGCGTCTTCCTCAAAACAAAGCCATCATAGCAGCAAACTGTAGCATAAAAAATGCTGAATTATTTACCATAGTGACAACACGGGTACTATCTAAAGGCCCAGACGCGTGTTTCGCCGATCTTTTACCTTTGCATGACACAGCTGCGAGGACTTCCGGTCATCAATCCTTCACCCCAGCATTCCCCATCTGCTTCTGGCATACAAACCTCATTTCCCATGTCACCTCTTCTAATTTATTCAGGGAAATTGAAGCAAATCCTTCCGATCAAAGCTTTTTTAGGCTCGGTCCGAAAGTTGATACGAATAGCTGAGTTTCAATCCACCAGCTACTGCGGAATAACCGCGTACTATTCACAAGCTACCAGAAGGCATGGCAGTAATATACAAACACTGAACGATTTGCCATTCTGACAGCACAGACACCAACTAAACGCCCAGACAGGAGTGTTTTTTCGATCTTGTGACGTTGCATGACGCGGCTACGAGGGCAACATCGCAACTGGACTATACGTGCCAGGAGGCACACGGGGAATGTTGGGGAACCACTGATGGGCAGAACCCCCGCAGCTGCGTCATGCAGTGGCACAGGATCGGCGAAACACACACATATGGACGTTTAGCTAGTACAGTGGGTGACCGATCTCATGAAATGTTGGCCGAAATTCTGAAATGCGTTTTCGATTAGGCGGGATTACTTAGGTGGATTTGTAATATGGATTAGCTCGCGGCATAATCCTATAACATTTCAGACTCCGCTGGATGTCGACTTTTAAATACACTTCTTTTCGACCTCCTGTAGAAACCGTACTCGGAAAAGAATGACTACTTAAGAAGCATGAACTTTTCACATTGATTTTCTATGGTCGTGCAAATTCGAATATACAGTGAGTGACCTATCTCATGAAATGTTGGCTGAAATTCTGAAATGCGTTTTCGATTACGAAGGATTACTTGGTCGCGTTTGTAATGCTGCTTATCTTGTGGCATACTCTTATAACATTTCGGACTTGGCAGAATGCCGGCTTTGAAATGCACTTCTTTTCAATCTTCTGTAGAAAGCGTGCTTGGTAAAAAATGACTACTTAAGTAGCATGCATTTTCCCATTGATTTTCGATAGTCTTGGAAATTCAAATATAATTTATAAAAACCATAAACAAAAATATGCTTTCTTTTAGTCAATCAATAGAGATTCACGTCTTCTCTTTATTTTATACTTAAGAAAGGAGTATAATTAGGTTTTAAAAAAGTTTCTCATTATGAGACTTTTTAAGACCGCGAAATGTCCATTCACATATCATCGTACCTGGCCATTTACCACTGTTCCTCATGAAATGTATAACATAGTCTGCATCCATTGCAAAATTTTATGAACTCTATATGGTATCTTTTTAACGGGATAGAAGAATATTGGATTTTCCTTATGCGAAAAGTATACAACTTGTTGACTGAAATAACTAAGCGCTGATGCAACGACTAATCAGGCCTAAATTATTTGGGAATTAGAAAACTTTTTTAAAACTTAATTATATTCCTTCCTTGAGTATACAATATTAAGAAGACGTGATTTTCTAATGATTGACTAAAAGAAAGCGTATTTTTGTTTATGGTCTCTATAAAATATATTTGAATTTCAAAGACCATCGAAAACCAATGGGAAAGATGCATGCTACTTAAGTAGTCATTCTTTGCCGAGTACGGTTTCTGTAGGAGATCGAAAATAAATGTATTCAAAAGTCGACATCCTGCCGAGTCTGAAATGTTATAGGATTATGTCGCGAGATAAACAGTACTACAAATCCACCTAGGTAATCCCTCCTAGTCGAAAACGCATTTCATAATTTCGGCCAACATTTCATGAGATCGGTCACGCACTGTACCTGTGATTCCAATATGGCAAATCATTCAGTATTTGCATACCATGGACTGCCTATTGGTAGCTTGCGAATATATCAGATTATTCAGCAGTAGCTGGGTGAATTTCAGCTCAAATATTCACATAAACTTTCGGATTGAGCTTAGAAAAGCTTTTATCCAAAGGACTTACTTCAAGTTCCCCACACAGACTTCCGAGGAAATTAAAAAAGGACAGTAAACTATAACATACTGGAAGATGATGCATAGCAACTATCTTCTTCTCTATTCAGAAGCATAGTTCATGATTTCATGTCGATGTTTGGAGAGTTAAGGAGCACGCTGCTTGCACTCGCACCATGTGTCTGGCTGCAAGGGATGGTCATTCTAGTCCGACCATACCCACTCCGTCATCCCTAGATCTCATCTGTGATTGTGCGCGAATGCTAAGCGCAGCGACTACACCCCATTGACTGCTTCGGTCGGCGCGCTAAATCAGACGGTAGTGAGATCATGAAACTCCAAAATCGATAACAGCGTGCATGAGACCCTCTCACAACAGGCGAAGACGGGGTCTTTACTTCACATTAGCTCCGCTAGTCTTGATCTAATCTGGACATTGGGATACGACGGGTACGGGGTCAATTAATGGATAAGTCCCCTTCTTCATTATAACCTACATCATGCGCAAGCTGGGGTGTCAGAAAACGGCCGAATAAAAACAGACGGAAAGGACACGTGTTCTATTTATAATCTTCATCCAACAAAGGGTTTGGTGTGAGAGGGCTCCAGACTGCCACAGAAAACGTAATGCCACAAACACCAGCCTATACCGGAATACCTGTTTGAGTTCCAACTCCACCACGTTTCGTTTCCGGTTAAACTGGAATTTGGCGAAGAGGCGCACGTGGCCCGGCTTGTAGACCCAGAGGTCGAGGAAGTTCTTAATGTCCTGGCCCGTAACGGTGGAGATGATGCGACGAAAGGAGTCCGTTGATAACAACAGGTTGGACTGGTTTTCGTCGCTCAGACAAGGCGGGACGGCAGGATGCTGCTGCGGTTGCGTCTGCCCTGAGACAGAGAGCGATTTGGCGTCTTTTAGACTGCAGCCGCCCTCACCAGCGCCAGCTGTCTCCTGCACCGGAGATGAGAGATGTGCCAGGACAAAGAGTTTGTTGAAGACCTGCAGGAGAACAGGCTGGCCGAATCGCAACTCCAACATTCGAATCACAAGGTGCGCCTTCTTTATGTACACGTTGAGGTATTCTGGAGACAGAACCTGGTAAGAGGCAGGGGAAAATAATAACAATACTCATCAGCAACTAGACAGGCACCAAATCAAACTAGAAGACGTCGACTGTTAAATTGAATTAGATCGCCGACGCCTGAACTCCTGTTAGTTGTTGCAGCCAAGCTAGCCAGCTGTTCAAGTCAATTGATATCCCTTCTTCTTCTTCTTCATGATCCTGAGGGCGGATCTGTTTTTCGGCTAAACAACTGACCTACTAGGATCGCGAGTCAAGTCTTCATAGGAAGATGCACGGGCCTGATTACGGAAGCCTAGGCCTCTTTGCCAATAGAAGCGAAGAGACGAGTCCCAGGAAGCAGAGGGAGAGACGATCGCTGAGACAAGAGCTTTATTCGCCTGACGTTTCGGATTCCTGATGATGGGTTCAAGCAGGAATCCGAAACGTCGGGCGAATAAAGCTCTTGTACCAGCGATCGTGTCTCCTTTTCCTAGGCTTCTTTGTTGCGTCATTTCTACCGAGTACTGCATACTCAGCAGCGTACCCTTCAAAATACAAAATACCGTTAGTAGGGTTACCAGTTAGTGACATCACTGCATAGCAGTAAATTGACGTCGGACGCACCAATGCGTTGAGCACTATCGCGAAAAGCAGTAACAACCGAGTCACAAGTGTAAGACACCACGTCAGACATTCTTAGCCAAGGAATTTCGGCGAGTAGTTTAGGCGGTTTAATGGCCTACTGCCTACACAGCTGTTCGCAGACTTCGAGGGATTATTTGACATGGTAATCCACATGAAGACAGCATGTCAGACAACTATAAGTAAAAATTTACAGTGCGTGACCGATCTCATAAAATGTTGGCCGAAATTCTAGAATGCGTTTCCGATTAGGAAGGATTACTTAAGTGGGGTTGCTATACTGATTATCATGCAGCATAACTCTATAACATTTCGAACTCGCCAGGATGTCGGCTTTTGAATGGACTTCTTTTTGATTTCCTGCAGAAACAACGCGCGGTAAAAAAATGATTACTTTAGTAGCATGCATTTTTCTATTGATTTTCGATGGTCATATAAATTCAAATATATTTTACGGAAATCATGCACAAAAATATGCTTTCTTTTGCTCATTTGGTAGAAAATCACATTGCCTTCAAATGTTATGTCCGAAGAAAGTGTGCATTTAGGTTTTAAAAAGTTTCCTAAATCCCGAATAATTTTCGGCATGATCTGCCATTGCATTAGGGTTTGGCGATTTCATTCTACAAGGTGCATGCTTTCCGCGTAAGGAAAATCATATATTCCTCTATGCCTTTAAGAAGATACCACATAGAGTTCATGAAATTTTGCAATGGATCGGACTGTGTTGTACATTTCGTGAGGAGCATTAGTAAACGAACATGTGCGGTCCTGCATGCATGGACATCGCACGGTCTTAAAAATCTCCTAACTAGAAACCTTTTCAAAACCTAAGTATATGCTTTCCTTGGGCATAAAATCTAAAGACAATGTGAGCAAAAGAAAGCATATTTTTGTGCATGTTTTCTGTAAAATATATTTGAATTTATAAGACCATCGAAAATGAGTACGAAAAATGCATGCTACTTAAGTAGTCATTTTTTGCCGAGTGTGGTTTTTGCAGGTCAAAAAGAAGTACACTCAAAAGCCGACATCCTGGCAAGTCCGAAAGGTTATAGGGTTATGCTGCGTCATAATCAGTATATGAACCACACTTAAGTAATCCTCCCAAATCGGAAACGCATTTCATAATTTTGGCCAACATTTCATGACATCGGTCACGCACGAAGAGATGTTTCGGTCACACACGATAGTCCTATCTTATCCGACGACAGGAAACACTACGGTTCTGATGGCGGAGGGGAGGACTTACGCGGCATCTAACCAACTTCTACTTTCCAGCCACATCCCGCCACAGTAATAAGATGCCCGAGGATTGGTGTAGGTGCAGTGGCAGAAGAAGTTAAATCCCCACCAAGGCGTGCGACACAGGTGCAGGTCCTCATCTTCGCAGCAAACTATCTTCAGAAAGCGGATCTCGGCCTCTCTTCGAAGATAGTTGTAGTAGAGGCGGGTAAGCGTACGGATTTAATCCAGGCGTCACTTCCCTTACACCTCCACTCAACCATCCTCCCTAGGGGAAGCTAAAATAATCTATGCCGCGGCTACTTGTTGCATCAGTCATCTTAAGACCTGCACAGGACGGTGAACAGACGCCCTGCGGACCAAAAGAATCTATTAGTCCGCTGTAGGACTGGGGTAGCTAAAGTCAGGTGCTCTTACTGTTGTTTGGTCGGAAAGTGCTTTTTTCGGCGCAAGAGACGCTCTGCAAATCCAACCAGAGCGTGTGCATTATAGCCCGTAGGTTAGCCCAAAAACCCTGTCAGACGGCGGTTAAATGGAATGGCCCAATGGAGGCAGGATTCCTCGTTGTTTTTGGTTCGAAGTCGAAGGTTTGTAGTTCGCAGTGACTGCGTACACAACAGTGCGAGGGCGAGATATATGCGGCAAAATTTTCTTAGGGCGGACCTATGAGGCTAGGTCCAAAACGTAGACAGTGGGGTCCTTAGTCGATCTAATCTAGTAGGTGTAAGGTATCCAGCCAACAAGAGATATGAACCGTGAGCGTCTCACCAGGTTTGGATAAAACGGTATTGAAAAGCGCGTATACTCTCGAACTGCATCCAGATGGGATTAAGCGAACGCTCTAATATCCAAGCGCCAGAACAGGAAAACCGGGGCTTCGGGAGACCATCTCATACTGGTATTCTGCATAGCTACGAGGTATGGATCGGATGGAGGACCCCAAGTATCTGTGGCGTGCAAAAAATACCTACCCAACTTATTTAAGAGGGTTCTAGTCCGACATGACTATTTGGGCGTGGTGTTTCAGCGTACAAGGTTGTGTCGTCTGTTCTAGACGGTCTGGTGCACTATCTACAATCATTTCAGCTCAGAGAGTTGAGAATTTGCCATACTTCTATGCATACATCGGCCCCGACCGTAAAAACTCTATTACCACCTCTCCTGTAGTCGTGTGTGTTAAGAGTCCTTCACCCGATCGTTGCCGGCTACGATAATGCCTGATTTAAGTGACCTAAGAATGTCTGTACGATACTGACCCACCCACAGCGCTCTCTGATGACGGAAACAATGAGTCCAGGGGGCGCCCTCTTCTCCAGCGACAAAAACCGAATACGCAGGATTGACGAACCGTGGTCAACGCCTCATCGGCTCACATAGATACCTCTACTGGAGAAGTGCATACGCTCTAATTTAACCTCATGATAACGGATGAAATGAAGACTCGACTCCGCAATGGCGGCCGCAACTTTCTATTAATCCGATTACGAAACCGAGGTCACACGTGGCTATCGCGAGGATTTCTCGTCACGAAACTAGTGATGAGCCACCTTGTTCTGATATTCACTGGTTAGTAGCACAGAAAGGCCGAGGTGGACAAGACACTCACCGCCTCAGGTCATCCAAGAGGAATACTTCAACGTTCCTAGCTTTTAGTTCTAAGCGGAAGTTGCGCGAAGCGGCGACTACGCGACCAAAAGCAGATTGATTCCTCATCCGAACAAACAATCGGTCGATTTCACACTGCGCCCTCCCGACGTCAATGGTCCGGCAATGTATTGCATCGACCGAGACTAATTCGGCGGGGGTGTGACCTCGTCCGATCAGGGGCCTGTTTTATGAGGAATTTCAGGTAGCTAACTGGGGATATAAAAACAGTGAAAACTTCGAACGAATTTCAAGCCCCGCAGTCATAGACTGCTTAGATGATTGGGACGCAAAATGACATAATTTTGTCCAGGAGTTTGCCCCCAACCAACTAGAATGGAATGGGATGATTCGTAATACCGTTAACTAGCAATGTGGAGTCGGTCGAATTCGTCAGGAGAAATACCGTCACATGTACAAATGGTTGGGAACTACTATTTGTGAGCACAACTGAAAAGGATTTAGAAGCATGGTGGTTTTTTCGCAGTCCCGACAGGGTGGTTTAGATACCATCACGAGCGTAAATACAAAACAAAAAACAACACGCAAACATTCACAGGATGCAGAGGCAGGGAATCGCAGGCAACTAACTTACTGTGAATCGGAACAACTTCAAAAGTTCTTACACAATCATATGAATTTGCTGGTTCGTGAGGCAAGCAGTTTGCCAGTTGAAGAACAAACCTGACAAAACCTCAGCTGGAGAATTGAAGGTACTATTTCGCAGTTTTGAGGTGCATGCAGTTGACTTTGTGAATGGAATACTATTCCGAGTTATCAACACATACTACAGAGGTGGGTTCACACCAAAAAAATGTAAACTGAGCAGTATCCTATCGACTAACAGAGGGACTGAATTACCTGAGGGAATTTGAGACTAAAGTAGGTGCTCTTTAGGACAACAGAGGACGGGTCCAGTATGACGCCATGCTTGGTGTGTTCATAATTTGTCACAGCGTGCATTTCATTGGCAATGAAATTGCGATACTCATTATTGCCGAGAATCCGCTTCAGGTAGAGTCCTGAAAGGTAACCGGCAATACCATAGGGTAGCCAGGCGGCAGCCCATGTCTCCATCTGAAGCGCACAACCAAAGAATTGTTGAGCCACCGCGAAGGAGAAGATACGCCGCGTGGTAATGGCCTGGTCGATTATGCGTGCTGAGTGCAGCAGGTCAACGGAGAAAACTATGAATGAGGCGAAGGACTGGTGGTCGTCAAACGCCCGATCCACAAACACTGTCTTGAGGTTATAAAATGGAAACTGAGAGGCCAAAATCGCCTCATAATGCTCCACAATACCGGCAATAGATGATATTGTGTGTTCAAGAAGGGGCAGCAGACCCTTGGGACAGAAATGCGTCGCCGCATTTGGCAGTAAAGGATCCGGGTAAATTTCAAACGCTCCGACGGCCACACCAATGTAGGGCGCAGAGACAGGTTGCGCCATGTAGAATTGATAGGTCTTTGACCTAAGATCGTTGGTATACTGTGGCGGACCGAGGAGTTGACCGGGCGCGATTGCAACCAGATCCTCATCCACTGTAATCTCAATCTTCCAGGTGCAGGGCTCACTGCAGTCGATGCAAGGGAACCAGAGCCGAGAAGCGTTCGGTGGACCAGAGGTGAAGGCATGCATGCCCGAAGTAGGGTGTGAGTCGCCCGCACTTGGGAGGACAAACTGGAATCCGTATTTCGGTTTCGAAAGGGAAAACTCTACAGTGATGAGGAGGGGACGCAGATCGTAGACGACGCCCAGGAAGGCCGGTGGAAGGCGAATGGACAATTCCCCATTGCCTTCGTCTGGGTCGGTGGACGCGACTACCGAGGTCTGCCTGCGCTCGAAGCTATCTAGAGTTCGTAATTTGCAGTCACGTTTAGATATTTCTAGACAGGGGTCGGTGTAATTGGTTGGCACGTCTGTGGGAGGTGGGGGGACATAGGATTGGGCGGGGTCTAGGGAGGAGTGGAAGTGTTCATCCGCAGACTCCACAAGTACTCGATGAATACGGCACTGGCGGACGTTGAGGAATATCTGACGCACGCTAGTGGTGCGAGGCCAGATCACAAGCTGAGTAAAGCCCAGCACGAGCTGTTGTGAGAAATCAATTTGCGTTATGCACAAGGACTGGTGGGCCAATCTATATGGTCGCCTAAAAGGTGGCCTCACCTGGCTCATTTTAGAATGAGGGCCCAGGAGAGCTCAGTCTGGAAATTCAAAGAAAACACAGAAAGTAAAATCAACTGGGACGAAGAGAAGTTTAACGTCTAATAGTGCGACAGGTATTTCTGTAGACACATACCTATTTAAAAAGAGACCAATTGTTTGAAAGTCAGAGGCGCATCTATGTATCATCTTTTTACTTCCGATTGGTTTACCGAGTGACTTTATTAACTTGTGCTCTGCCGCAAGACTGGAAGGTTTTGGTGGATTTCACAAAAACGACAACTTTCAGATGAAGTGTCGACTGTTGAAGGGGTAGAAGTAAAATGACGCCTTCCACAAAGAGATACAGATGAAAGGATAACCCGTTGTGGGTATGTTCATTGAACAAGCCATACGTGTCCAGACTTTAAACAACAGACCCTCCAGACTGCATCGTCAGTCGTATTCAATGGTGACTAGTATCCTCTAGGCAGATAGCGGAGATCTGTGGATGGGATTGAATGAGGTCATCCGCAATAATTACCTTTTTTTCTATCACATCTCCAATTGTTCAGTGATATGAAAAGGCTAAGACGTGATATAAAGCCTAAATACCCGGCTGCCATATGCATGCTTAGTAGCCACCCAGGTCTGGCAATCGCGAGCCCATTTCTGAAAGTCTGCATTGCCCCAACAATGTTCAGACGAGGGCTTAGGCAGAAAATGAATAGGCTCCCTCAGGAGCTCCTTTGGCTCACAGCATCGCATAGAGGACGATTAAATGGGCACCTTGCCTGTCGGTAAGGGCTCCCACTGTGATTGTGAGATGCAACGCTGTACAGATATAATTTTACAGATCGCTTGGAATCTCCGCCGCGACCATGGCAGGAAGTTAGTGAGTGTGCGTGTGTGTTATGTACGATAAGCCAGAGTTCAGTGTCAACTGTGAGACGCCGTCCATTCGACCGCCTTCGGTATCCTCGACGGCGCACGTCACAAACACCAGGACTGGTTCGACGACAATGACGCAGTCATCGGTAATCTGCTCGCCGAGGAGAATAGGCTGCACAGATCCCACCTTGAGAGTCTAGCCGATGCGAACTAATCAGTCGTCTACCAATGTCACCGTCTTGCGCAGTAACGATCGCAAAAAGTACAGGATGCTTGGATGGCTCGCAAAGCCGAGGAGACTCGAGGATATGCCAACCGCGACGAAGAAAAGGACTTTGTTACGATCAAGGTAATCTACGGTCCCCCAAAGAGAGGAACTGCGCCGCTGCTCAGCTCCGATGGATAAACGCTTTTGACGGTCAAGTCACAGATTCTGAAGCGCCGGGCCAAGAACTTCAGAAGCGTCCACAACCGCTCCGACGCCGCCATCGACAGGCTCCCCAAAGTGGGCATCAACACCGACCGGTATCTCCCGCCCTCTCTCCCAGATATCATCGGCGCAGTGCAACAACTGGCCAGAGGGAAAGCGCTAAGCTCTGCTGCGATATCAGCTGAAATCTACAAGCACGGCGGCCACCGACTGATAGACCAACTCAAGGCGTTATTTCAGGTGTGGCGCTGTGGACAAGTTCCTCGGGATCTCAAGGACACAACCATCGTTTACTTCTGCAGACAGACAGAGGACCGGCAACTATGTGACAATCAAAAAGGCATTTTGCTACTCAGCATCGCCGGGAAGGTATTCGCCCGCGTCCTCCTCAGTCGTCTCAACGGCCACCTAGAGCCGCCCGTCAGCTACAATAAAAGTGTCAGGAGATACAGACTCACCTCCACAACACCTTCGTGGAACTAGCGAAGGCCTTTAACACGGTAAATCGCGAAGGGTTGTGGAAAATCATGCAGAAGTTCGGCTGTCCTGAGCGATTTACGCATATGGTGCGTCACGGCTTCACTATAGGATGATGGCGCGCGTCACGGACGACGGCGCAATCTTCGATGCACTAGCAGTGAGCAATAGGGTGAAGGAGTGCGTACTCGTGCCCACCCTCTTTAGCCCCATGTTTTCCGCCATGTTGATGGAAACCTAACGCGATAAGCGCCGCAGTATCTGAACCGCCTACAGGACCGACGGGCACCTTCCTAACGGCCGGCGAATGCAGGTCCCGACGCGTCTCTTCACAGCTACTTTCCACGATCTGCTCTACGCCGGTGAATGTGTACTCAGTACTACGACCAAAGCAGACATGCAACGGAGCGTGGATCTCTTCGTCCTCGGCTGCGCCAACTTCAGACTGACCATAAATACAAACAAAACGGTGATCATGCATCAACATCCCCCCGAACGGTGAAAACGGTGTACTTCGCATCCACGCCAACGGCACCGAACTGATGACCGTGGATAATTCCAATTATCTAGGCAGCTCAATGTCACGCTGCACCAGAATCGAGGACGAAGTAGCTCACCGGATATCCACAGCCAGCCAAGCCTTCGGCCGGTTGCAGAACTCCGTTTGGAATCGCGCCCGTCCTCAACTGGACACCAAACTGAAGATGTACAAGGCCATCGTCCTGACGACATTTCTATACGGGGCGGAGGCCTGGGCCGTCTATTCCAATCATGTCAAGAAGCTCAACCAGATCCATCTCAGCAGCTTCCGCAGAATATTAAAGCTGAGAAGACAAAACGGGATCTCCGACACGGAAGTCCTAGGACGGACAGGAATCCTCAGCATTTACGCCATGTTGAGGCGACTGTAGCTAGGCTGGAGCGGCCATGTAGTGAGGATGGAAAAAACACGTCTACCAAAACAACTTCCATGGTGATGTCGCCACAGGTCCTCGTCGACCAGAAGGAGGAAGAAGAAGAAGAAGAAGAAGAAGAAGAAGAAGAAGAAGAAAACGACGTCCCGTGGACACTTAGAAGAGCTCTTTGAAACTCTTTGCAGATCTAGCCGGAGACCTGAGAGGACCTCGCCCAGAACCGATTAACATGGAGAAGAGAAGTGAAGACCGGTGCCATCATCCACAAAACAAACTGGATCGCCGCCACCAAAACCAAAAGGTGACGTTCGCAAGTCACAAGTGTCTCGACTACTCAATACGAAAAATCGGCCGTTAGCAACATGCCTCTGTGGCCAACGCACATACCGCGCGCCGATCGGTCTTGTAGGTCAGAATTCAAATACCCTCTCTCGCTCTCGTAGAATGGTGTGGCTAATGTATATTTACGAACAGTTGTGTGCGCCGGTAAACAGTTGCAGAGCAGTATGTTTACCTGCCTAGGATTCGTAAGTAGAACGGTAAATGTCATTTTCGCCAATTCCGATGTCGATATTGACAAAGTTTTCAAAGTGGATGCCTGGTCAGTATGCCTAACTCGACATGCCAACAGGCAGTCTGTATGCCCTTGCTATAACAGTATCAAGGGTGTTAAGTGGGAGGTCATGCAAACATTCATGGTCGGGGACATTGAGGCTTACCGACAAAAAAAACTTTTTTTCAGTGATAGGCAAACTAAATCAACGTTGGCAAATTTGAAAATTACCGACTTCCATTTGCTGAACATGATGCTCAGTGAGGAAATAAAGAATAACCAAACGGTCAGGACGCAGGTACACCTATGTCAATGAGCAAACGTAAAGGATGTTGAGACTTCTGGGAAAGTATCGGTTGTTATTTACAGCGTCCGTTATTTTGAGGCCCATTGAGCTCGAAGTAAACGAATTTGGTTAATGTTTTAATGTCGAAAGTCGCGTGCTTTCAAAAAGTATCTCTGGCCCCCTAAAATTTCAAATTTAACTGCGCAAATTTGGGCCTTCAAAAGGTTTACAGGTCCGATTTCGCTGTCTTACATATAGTTCACGTCTACTTTGAGTTCCACTTACGGATTCAGAATCCCTATACTAATTACTCTTTTGTGCTAAGTGGTGCCGAAGAACTTGGACGATTCAGCAAATGCCCTTGTTTTCGCATGTTAACCATACCAAGGAGAATAAGTGAAGGGAATGCGGGGTGGTGTCGCAACGGCTGCGTCGAGGGCATCTTTGAACGACTTCTACTCGACTGAAATAAAAAGTTGACGTATTGGTGCCAAAACTTAAAAGATAATTAACTGGGGACCTTCGGTATGTGCATCAGACAAATGCCTGTTGGAAAGCCCAGGAAAGCATGCCTAAAGCAAATGGAAAAATCTTGTGGAGAAAACACGGCAAGGTGAAAGGTTGGGAAGCTCGACAAGTTGTTCGGTAAAAGATAAAATGGTAAAGAGATAAAATGGGTTTTGATTCACAGTTAAACCTGAAGTTAGATTAGTTCAGCTTACAGAGAAAGGGCAATGGAAGGAAGCTTACCTCTGGAGCCGTCAAAGACTAGCCTATGCAAAATTTCTTACGGCAGGCCACAGTACATGTGAGTGCTACACTGTTTTTATACAGAATAAGCGATGTGCACACATTATCTGTCTAGAATGATACACTTCCAAGTGCATTGTAAGGACTGAAGTCGGTAAGCGACGCGCGAAAGGAGCAAATTACTCGGAACGTAGCAATATTACTACGTTCCGAGGCATTTGAAGACGGACAACCGAATGCCAAGCCGGAGACGGAGAAAAATAGCCAAACTGGGGAACATGGGTTTTGTTTCCTGCCAGAGTTGTTATTTTGCCAATCCGGTTAGCCTGTAACCAGCAAATAGCTCGTCGTGCACACTTACAAAATGGGTGGGCTAAGAAGTGGTAAGCAATTAGCTGTTCATTTTAGGCCTAGCGATTCAGAGGATAAACTAAAAATTTGGTATATTATAAATTATGACTGAGTAGGTAATCGTGGGTTTGAGAGAAACAAGTAGCAGAAAAGAAATAAAATCTTGTAGGTCAAGATTAAAGAGCACCGAAAGCGGACTGGGCGGAAGAACGGAATCAGTTCTTTGCCAACCTGGAGGAATAAACCAATCAAAATAGAGGCCGCGCTTTATTGGAGGAAACTCAAATCATTCATATTGACCCAACTATGAAAAACTCGGCGCCTCAATATGAATTATTTAAAATCTGCCAAAATATAATGAATTACGTGAGCCTAGTAGTCATCTGGTGGATTCTAGGTGAATTACTTAGGAAATCCTGCTTGGGCAGTCAACTTACTGTATCAGATTTGGTGGATTCCAGACGTTGCAGTAGGTTGGGCGGGTAACTTGACCCAAGTGTGATAAAACTCGCGTCGTCCGGCGGGGCCTCGTAGCTCAGGTGGTTAGAGCGTTGGCTGTACTAAAGCCGTCCCCCTTACAGCTTGGGTTCGAATCCCACCGAGGCGCCGACTTTTTCACAGTTGGGTCAATATGAATTATTTAAAATCCGCCAACATATAACTGAAGCTCAAATCGACATTTTGTGTACGATTACGCATCATTGTGCTGCAGCCGACAGTCTTAATCGTACCAATCAGGCCTGAATAACAAAGGAAGACGGCATTACAAGGTTTGATTACGAAATATGTACAGGCGTCTAGATGATATGGATCTGGATGGGGTTAAGGCCGGAGGAAACACTGGGAGGGTACGTGGCAGGTTGGTGGGTCGGGGAAATGCAATAGCGAGCAGCCTCGGAGAGCCGTGACGGCGTCCGGGAGGCGATCTCCGGTCCAGGTTACTCGACATCAATTTTCGTACTTATAAATGGTTTCCCCAAAGAATTGGGGTAGTATAATTTTGGATAGATTAATGGGCGCGCGTAAATCAGACTGTGAAGATACGCTAGGACGGAAAATGATTACTTGGAGCCTTGTGGCCGCTATTATGGGCATAACTGTCAACATGAGGCTACAGGAAAGCGTGGCGAAATAACCACTGAGCATGTCGAAAGAGTAAAATTCAGTCGGATCATAACGAAGAGGATAAAGGACTCTATGTGAAGAAGGCCAATAGAATTTACGCATGCTGCGGTTGGTTAACTGTCGATTCGCTAGAGCTTATAATGAACTAATCCTACTGATCTGGGGCTGGGTAGACGTGGAGTCACTGGGGGTACGTTATAACTTCGTATTCTTCGCTACTGAGTTTAATACTTGAAAATTCATTCTTATAGTGTTTATCACTTCAGGCAATCCGAAACAGACACTCAGAGTTGGTTGTGACCGACAGACAACACTCAAAGGGTAGAAATGACAGTTTATTGGAGTGTAGACGTGTCATAATTAAGAGCAGCGGTGAGAAGTGGTAAACAAACTAAGGGCACAGGTATAAACGGCAGCGTCGAGAGGAAGAACATATGAGCATAAGGCACTTTTTAAATTGCTGTTCATCAGTAAGAATTCACACGATCGGCGTACAAGAAAACTCTTCCAACTAGAGCAAGGGGGTCAGTCAGTTAGGTCTGCTGGATCGATACAAACCTTGCCGAAATCGGAAAGCTTCTGGGAAAATATTTGTAGTGCACGTTAGTATCAAAAATGTAATCGTGCACCAAAATTCGAACTTAGCGTTCGCCAGTGACCTGCGTTCTCTATTTCCCCTAGTTAAGTTTGCCGAGTGTGCAGATCCTATTCTGTATCCCCGCCTAGATCGCTCAAGTCGCTTATTTGTCATAACTGCACGTGGTTTTTGCGAGCTAATAATTGGCTATTTTTACGGAGTATTTTCACACGCTAGGAAACCACTGGTCGATATGATTATATATAAGGCGGTGCATCGCAGTCTACGAACAAGCGCGCTTTCTGTTAAGTGCCTCGTACTTGCGTTTGGACGACACTCCCAGTCCTTGAATAATGGTGTTCCAGTAAGCATTTTAAAAGCCGATGCAAATACTATTTTCCCATCCCTCTTATGCAAGATATGTAATCTCGCTCTTGAAAGTGAAATCTATCCTACCTTATGGAAGGAATCACACATTTTACCCATTCCTAAGCACGGCATATCCACGTCATTCGATGACTTTCGGCCAATAAACACCCTCCAGTGATCAAAGATAAGGTGCTATGTCACTTAACAGAGAATAACCTACTGGAAGCGGCTTAGCATGGATTCCTCAAAGTTCGATCTTGTGACACCTGTCAACTCTCTTCTTTGACTATGTTCTCCAATCTAGGGACAATGGTTTTGCACTTTACACAGTATATTTCGATTTTACTATGGCTTTTGATCGTGTTGACCATGCTCTTCTTCTCTTGAAACTGTCCTCTTTCGGCATAGGTGGCAAACTTTTAAATTTTATATCCTCTTACCTGGGCACTCGTACACAACGAGTTAAGATTTCCAATACTATCTCCCACCCTACATGTGTGAGAAGTGGAGTCATTCAGGGTAGTGTACTCGGCCCGTTTTCATTTTGCCTTTTTGTTAAAGA